TTCTTTTTTTCTCATTTCTTTTCTTTTCTTTTTTTTTTTTTTTTTTTTTTTTCAGCCAATTAATTAGAATTTTTTCCTCCATTTCAATGATCTCATTTTCCGTTTGTTTAGTTTGCTAACACTGAGAAATTTTCCTCTCCTCTTTTGGTATTCTATTACAATGAAGAATATTCACTGTATTTATTTTAATTTTATTGTATTTAATCACTGAACAAATATCTATTCCATTCAGGAGATCCCATAAATACCTTTTGCGATCCTATCTATCTGGGGTAACATGTGGGCCTAGAACTAGCGTGTTGTCACCATATAATATTTTGTAACATGAAAGATGTTAAAAATTGTTGCAATTCAAGACTAGAAAGCTGACGTATAAACTTTGAAACTCAAATATTTGTGTTAAGCTAAAACTGTCTTTATTCATTTTTCAAATATCATTTTGAAGGTTCTGAAGGCACAATCTGCTGCAAAAGCCAAAGGATATTCTGATGTGCTCTATCTGGATTGTGTTCACAAAAAATATCTGGAGGAAGTTTCTTCCTGCAACATTTTTATTGTCAAGGTATTGTGGTTAATGAGTCTGTTAGTATAACCATCCTATTTGGTATTTCTTTTACTTAAGAAGCCTTGTAACATGTTACTTTTTTCCCAATGAATCAAAATTTCATTGAAAGGAGTGCCTTGTCATATTACTAATTATTATAGTAGAAGGAAGAATTACTGTGTATTAATTTCTTTAAGAGGAATTAATCATCTATCCTATCCTTTTCCCTCCTGCTTAGGAATCTTGTACATCTGTTCATTGGGTGATTAACTGCAAAGCTGCTACTAGTTCTTTTGGATTCCCAAACATTGTATTAAATGATACCCATGTTTTGTAAAATTAACATATTTTTGTTTACCTACTGCTTCTAGGATAATGTTATCTCCACTCCTGCCATAAAAGGGACAATCTTACCTGGCATCACAAGAAAGAGCACAATTGACGTTGCTCGAAGCCAAGGGTTCCAGGTACTTATTATGCAGACTAAGGGGCTGTTAGTAAATTTGCTTAGTCAAATTAAAAAAAAATGCTAGTTGTATGTTGTGTTTTTTAAAAGATATATGAATAACTTCATCCATGGATGTTGTTCCTAATGACATGTTTGAACCCTTTGGGAGCATAGAGTCTTTATTAGAAAGGATTTGGTTTTATTATTAACTTCTTATTTCAATTAGGACTAGTATTTACTGCTTATAAATATTTCTAGGTTTTGAGTTTACGAAATTATTTAGTTATTTGGATATTATTGGTTGTGTTGCATTCATGTTTTTTTCCCTTCTTTTCCTCCCCTTTTTGTTTTCTATTTGGTGCTGAAATCATTCAGATTACTGTTCACAGCAACCCTAATCCTACTTCAGCTTCTATTCTATTTCTATCCAATTGAGTGAGGGTGTTTGGCAAAGCTTAAAAAGCACTTTCTTTAAAAGCACTATTCTCTCTCACAAATTTAAATTTTTGTTGGAGGAAAGCACTTAAAATTAGCTTTTTAAGTGGGTTTTAAGCAAATTTTAAAAAAGCTAGACATCTAAGCTTTTTCAAAACTTGCTTAAAATTCACTTTAAAACTTAGAAGACAATTTTTGAATTTCCCTCTAACAAAATTAAAAATTTGTGAGAGATGAATAGTGCTTTTAAAGCAAATGCTTTTTAAGCTTTGCCAAACACTATCAATCCCTCAAAGCAAACCCTAATCAACTCCTAATCCCTAACTCCTACAGAAAGCCCTAAAGCCTAGCTTTCTAATTGCTAAACCCACCACAACCAACAGCTTGTGGACAGATTCAAGGCTTTCCTACATTTCCTTGTCACCTGCATATTCGTCTAGAGCTCTAGATTTAATTGACATATTGGACAGTTGAGGATGCCTAATATCTGCTTTCTGCCAAAGATGTGCTAAAAGGTCATCTTTATGAACTGTACCATGCAAACTTTTACTATGTCATCTTGTAAGAAAGAACTAATTTTGGAGTAGAGATTGCAGATAATAAGAACATCCTAGCAATTAAAATGCTAGGAATGATGGTGAAAAGACTTAAATACCTTTAATGAATCAACAAAGCAGATTTATTAAGGTATTTGAACAATTTCATAGGCATTCTAATTTTCACGTTTCTCTTTGGAGTAAAATTTTAATCAGCACTTTACAAATGTTTTGTTTGACAGTGGATATTCTAATTTGCTTGCAAGTTGGTTTCATGGTTTACTTTGCTGTCTCCAGATTACAGGGATACCTCACTTATTTATTGTCCTTTAGCATCTAGCTCGTCTGAACTAGTTGGTGTTTGCTCATAGGTTCTTAAGTCAACACTTTCCAGTGCTAACATGGTATCAATGTAGGTTGAGGAGCGTCTCGTGACTCTGGACGAATTGCTTGATGCTGATGAAGTTTTTTGTACTGGGACGGCTGTTGTAATATCGCCTGTGGGCAGCATTACCTATATGGGTAGAAGGTAAATTCTCTGTGCTTATGATAAATAGAGGACGAGGAATTTCTGCCTCATCATACATTATTTATTTGTTTATTCTTAAATTTTTGCTTCTATTTATTTCTTTGGTTGGCAGGGATTGAATTGATAGTCATACATTATCACTGTTAGTTGGGAGCATCATATATAGTTAGCATATGAAACATTAACAATTCTACAAGATGAAGTTTGGTTTAATTTTGGAACATGAACCTTTTTTGATAATTATGCTTCTGTGAGTTTGCCTAATAAAAATCATGATTTGAGGGAAAATGGAACCTATTAGTTACTTGGCATTTCTCAAGGGGTTCTCAACTTGTCTGGAAGTAAAACATACTTCTGTACGCTACAAAACATTGGAGCATAGGTTATAATCTTTGCTGCATTTTATATGAAATCAAAATGCCAAGGCACTTGCCTGAAGGTAGTTTTACTGCCTTCTGTTTTCCTCTAGAAGGACAAAAGTTTCTCTGACCACATTATGGATAATGTGCAAGTGGGAGTCTGATGCTGGTGTACGAACTAAATCCATTTGTCTTCATTTTTTGCAGGGTTTCTTATGTAGAAGACGGCTTTGGGGTTGTTGCACAACAGCTCTATTCTGTGCTTACTAGACTACAGATGGGACTTATTGAGGACAAGATGAACTGGACTGTTGAGCTGAGTTAGGCAGCCGTCTTACCATCTCATCTAGTTCATGTTCTTCTATGTTGGATTATTGTCTAGTTTGAATCAGAAAAAGATTATTCTCTAGCTTGCATTTCGACTTCTGCAGGGACAGCTCTGACTCCAATTAGTTGTGGGTTCTGAAAAATTTGCAGCCACCGTGTTTCCCTTCCCCAGGGATATGTCATATGTAGGTGGTCTTTTGGCACTGTTTTTACTTTCTTGAACACTGTTTTCATTCTTCTCTTTTTTTTTTTTTGGGATTTTCTCATTTCTCTGTTTATCTCCCCAATCCCAGCAACATAACTACCATGAAAACAGAAAGATCTTCTAATGTTAAATCAATTATTTTTGAAACATTATAAATTTGGGAGAGGAGGAATCTATTTCGGTACCATCTTGAATGACACACCTTTAAACATTTGGGCCAGGAGGCCGATTGCATTGGCTCACGGCATCGGTCTGAAGAAAATACTGATCCCATAAAGCATAAAATTATTAGGTATGCACTCCATTGAAATCTCTAAAGTAAACCTCATCCATCTGGGTTTATCTTCATTTTTTGTCTTATCTGTCTTTTGACCTAAGTTCAACCAACAAAAGAAGAAAACGCGTTACCGACTCACTTTTTCATGGATGGGATAAAGCTGGGCAACAAAAGGCTTCAATTATTACCCTTCTAACTTAAAAAAAGTGGGTTTGTGGCAGTCAATTATGGGAGTTGTTCTTTTCCTCCTTGATTATGGTTCCTGAGGTCACTTAAGAGTCAGTCGTCGTCGCCACCCTCATTCTGCTTCCCCGTATTTTTTGACATGTTCTTAGATAGGGACTACAGAAGATATGCCTCTGTTTCTTTATTAATTACAACATTGATTTCGCTTGAACCTTTCAAAGTGAGATTTGATCTTCTCCCTAAATGAGGGGTGCTTGAACGTTAAGCTAAAGGCTCAACACTGATATGTCTAAGCTTTAAAAAATCAAAATGAATTAATCAATGAAGTTAAAATTCCAATAAAAAAGATATTAATTTTTGTTGACTTTAGTACGATGGTGAGATTTGTCCCTCCGGTTCTAAATTCGTTAGGTAATGATATATTTACAATGTCACATAATTAAAAACTTACAATTATAATGTGTTATTCATAAACATTTAGATGTTAAGAACATTTTTCATGGTGAAATCTGTCTTCTTCTTTCTGCAAGATTTTTATTTTATTTTATTTTTTAAGGAAAGGAATTACAGTTGGGAAAGGAAAAGATATGCGTTGAGGCGTTGACCTGGGAAATGTTGGGGTCTTAAACTAGCCGTAACATGTAAGACATAAAATGCAGTGGCATGGATTTAGACAATAATAGTTTTTAATGCATAAATTTTGTCCATGTTTCTAGATGTTTAGAAATTTCAAACACCGTCGTTTAGGTTTCTCATGTAACCATCCTTTTCAATTAAATATAATGCGTAGATTTTAATTTTGGACAATTTTTTTCATGAAAACATTGATTTGGATTGGAGTTCCAATTGTTTGTGAACATCTTGCATGGAAGTAGAAAATATGCTCATGGTGGGGAGTGGGGACTGATTGGCGCACATAACTATTACCTAACAATATAAATCTTTTAGAATCAAATATCAACCGTGATGTACATTAGTTGAAAAAATATTGGTTTTACCTTTTTTCTTTCCTTGTCTTTAAAGTTTAAAGCTTTAGGCGAGTTATATAATATAAAAGATAATTTTTGTTTGTCCGTTTCAAAATTTGAATTTGAAATATGTTACTTATAACTTTAAAATTGTTATCATTACTATATAAAAATTTTTACCTTTTATGTTTTAGATAGGAAT